GTGGGGGCATTCCGACAGGCTCCGCATGAGATGCAGGAAGATGGAGTGGACGCGCATCGTCACTCCACCTGCATCTCAGAGCCTGCACTTCTAAGCAACGCTCAAGTAAAAAAGCGCGTGTCGAGTTTGCTTCGGTCGGATGCTTTTTTCCCTGCATGTCCCTGTAGGCTTGAAGCAGTGACCAAGATTCTAACGCTAGGGGTTTTTCTTTTCCCCTGTGTTTTAATCTTGGTTGAATCTTCGGCCGCGTGGCTGTTTCTGCTTCAAGCCCTTTAGTAAGGGACATGCCTTGAGGGTCTGACCCCTCTTTCGTTCTTTTTGAACCCACCCTCCCACCCTTTCACGGCCCAGGTGGAAACCAACTTCCACAAGGCCTGATTGCTGGGTTGCTGAACACGCATGGTTGCAAGCTTTCCCGCTTCCAACATTTTGTCGGCTTACTGCATCCCGCAGGACCCGTTTAGCCCGTGCAAAGAGGCCTGATAGCTGATTGCTGAACACGCGTTGTCGGCAAGCTTTCCAGCATCAAGCATGTTGTCGGCTTACTGATCCCGCAGGACCAGTTTAAGCCTACGCAGTGAGGACGCATTCCTCGTTGGCCACACCAGTTTGAACCCATGCTGTGCACGCAGTCGCACATCGCTGAATGCCATCGGCATTCTGTCGGACCAGCCTGGTCCCCTTCAGGAGGACGCATTCCTCCCATGCACACCTATGCACGCATTGCATACCGATGTGCAGAATACCTCCTATTTGTCTCACACCCCATGGGTAAAACACCCTGTGTGATGGTCGAACACGCAATGTTGACCACAGGGGGCATTCCGACAGGCTCCGCATGAGATGCAGGAAGATGGAGTGGACGCGCATCGTCACTCCACCTGCATCTCAGAGCCTGCACTTCTAAGCAACGCTCAAGTAAAAAAACGCGTGTCGAGTTTGCTTCGGTCGGATGTTTTTTTCCCTGCATGTCCCTGTAGGCTTGAAGCAGTGATCAAGATTCTAACTAGAAAGTAAGGCGATTGATGATCGCGGCCAAGCCTTATTCATTGCAGTAGTCTCGAAAGGGGGCATAGGCATTTGGGAACAACCGCCTGCTAAAAGCCGCGAATTTCCAAAGCCTTGGTGTGGGTGGACGCATGCCAGCATGGCAAGGGTCTTTGATTGCAATAGCCCACGCGTTCAAGCCCTGGCAGCTCGATGCAATCACACACACACAAGCGCCAAAGCATTGCTGGAGCGAAAGAGCGTGAGGTCTACCTCAGCACTCTCACAGCCAAGTACCCACCGTCCTTGGCCCGCCAATGTAGGTCCTGGCAGACAGGCGCTGCCCGCCATTCTGCTCCAGTCTGCGACGGAGCGGGCGCGCGCTCATCGGCCAATCGGTGCCACCCGACCCGCAGCCTCAGCACCCGCTACAGGCGGTCGTCAAGCACTGGCTTCGATGGATGCACGAACGCAACATAGTGCCTCGCATCATGGCACATGTCAGCATCGCCTTCTGAAAGCGTGAGGTGGCTTGCATGGCTTACACAGCCCTGGGCCTGCCGGGTCCAGAAGACATGAGCCCAGAGGCAGGACAGCCCTACCGGCTTCACCTGTTGCACGTGCTCCTAAGACTGCTTGCCTTTTCCGTGGTTGCTTGCAAAACGCCAAGGGGGGGGATAATGCTGCCCCCTGCAGTAGGTGCACCGCGTGCCCTAGCTGCAGTGGTACTTTCCAGCAACCCGAGAAAAAGATGCGCGCCTGCGGTCAGCAGGGTTGTTTGGAGGGTCGTTTGGGTTCAAGCTAGGAGCAGTGCAACAGGTCTCTAACGCTTTGGGTTTTCTGTTCCCGAGTGTTTTATGACCTGTTGTGAATCTCATGCACTATGGCCATTTTATGCTCCTAGCCTTGAACCCATACTCCTTTGTTTCGATTGAAGCCCACCCTCCCACCCTGCTTTGCCGCATTTGCTGATCAAGAGGCTGCAGACGCTCTGCACCTCTCAGCGAAAGCTTGGGCACGCTTGCCCTCGCTTCAGTTGTCTAGGGCCGTACCCGCGGTACGCCCTAATCAATCTCGGGCCGCAGTCCGGAGATTTAGGCATGGGCACGCATGCCACGCCGTGCATTCGCACTGCCTTCGCCAGGACACGCTTGTCTGGCCCCTTTTTCAAGTTTCACCGGGATGGATAATGCTGCCCCCTGCACTAGGTGCACCGCGTGCCCTAGCTGCAGTGCTTTTTTCCAGCAACCCGAGAAAATGATGCGCGCCTTCGGTCAGCAGGGTTGTTTGGAGGGTCGTTTGGGTTCAAGTTCAAGCTAGGAGCAGTGCAACAGGTCTCTAACAACACCTGACAAAAAAGGGGCTGAACGCTATTTCGCACGTTGACCCTTGTTTTGTCTCATGTCCCAGATTTGGCTTGAAGCAGTGAACAGGATTCTTACTTTCCCTATGCATGTCTCTATGCCTTTCACTGTCTACTTTCCCTATGCAATTGAGTTGTGCATAACGCAACGACTTTGTCGGAAGACAAATTCTTCGCAACGCCTTCGGGAATACATGAAATGAAAAAACAACAGCAAAAGGTGAAACAAAGTATGAAGAACACGGGGGATGTGCAGATAATCAGGTTTTGAGAGAGTTAGCATGCAGCATGAGCCGGGTGCCAAGCAAGGGAATTCTTGTCCCCAAACATGGACAGATTTATGGTCTTCAAAACACGATACTGCTGTTGCTGGTCTTGATTGCTTTTGAAGCTTGCGTCACAGCTGGTGGGCTCGGACATGTTGATGATTCGCGTGGCTTTCCAGGCGAAACAATTGCAGATCGGTTTCGCGTTGCACAACTTGGTTGCTTGTTCTGGATGATTGGCCTACACATGTCATTACGTACGTGCAATTCTCACTGGAGACAAGGACTGCAGTGGAACGTTTGCATGCGCTTAGCTAAATTCAGATGTCAAGTAAAGAGGCGTAATTGCATTGCGACCCTGTGTGTGGATGTGAAGAAAATGTTTGTGCGATTTCTCTTTGCAGTCAATAGTTATTGGAACTCGGCACGATTTCTTGGCTCAAGAGCGCCATGACGCGTTGTCATGTCGTCTGAATGAAGCGGCCTCCAGGCCTGTCGTGCAGGACGGCGGACAAATTCGTTTCGAACAGCTTGCTGCATAAACAACCCCAGTTTGGATACTTGTTCTTTTGGCCGTGATCAGGATGCTGCGGCTTGTGACGACATGCGTGGCAGTTCTGACCTTAGATGTCTCAAGTTTGGTGCAACATTGACTGCACACAAATACGTGGAACAGAGTTTGAGTTTATGTTGAGGAGTCTGATGACAACAATGGGACGTGACAATTACTCTGCCAGGTCCTGACAAGCTGCGATGCCGTCAAAACATCACGCGGCGATCCCAGAACACATATATACACACGCATTCAAATCTATATTTGGATCATGAACAATGCTTTTCGATGCCAAATAGTTGTGGTTATACCAGCTGGTTTGAACGATTGAACAGGGGCTTGCATTGTGGCCCAACAGAAATTCGTATCCAGTATGGAGATGGTTTGAATTGGAGAATTGCATGAGGACCCACGCTTGATTTGGCTTAGAATAATCCTAGCACACAACCTGATGTGTTATGACCTAGGGTTCTGCGAGTCTAGGTGCAGCCCGCGCCGAAACAGCAGGCGAGGATGGGGATAGCCAAATGTTTGAAATACTTTTTCCGACTGGCCTTTGACTCGTTTCTTCGGCCTTCGGCTTCAGGGGCTCTGGCTTTTCAACACTTGAGGTGACTGTATGAGGGTTGTCCGCCAAAAGGAGCAAACCCCCCCCAACAAAAAACGGTTTCCCTTCCCCTTAAAGCAACCCCAAAAAAGGTCATCTCAAAAAAGGTCATCTCACAAATTCAAGCACACACGCACACGTGTAAAGAGGCCGGGGTGAAGTGCAGGCAGCCCGATCTTGAAGGCGCTGCAGATGCTGGAGGAGCTGCAGGCAAGGGCTATTCCATGCAGACCTTTTTCTTGACCTGGCTTGACAACATCTGTGTGGAACCATGAGAGAAGCAACGGATAACTTGCTTACTCATGGTTTACTTGGATTGAGGACACCTTGGTGGACAGCCTTCAGCATAGACTACCATGCCTGCATTTCCCCCTTGTCAATTTTTCAGACCGGCTCTCCTGTGAGGACAAAGTGGCTGATGCGGCTCAGAAGGAGCAGGAGTCGTGCGCCTTTTTTGGCATTGAACCCTGTCAGATGTGTTGGTGTGCGCGAGAGACCAAGCATTTTGTTCCATTCGGGACTGGCATTGTTTGAGGCTTGAAGCTGTGAGGGCTGGTCAGGTGCGTAGGCTTAGGAGCATTTGCGTGTTGCATACGGTCTTGAGCATTCAGCTAGGTTTTAGTGGCGATCGATGGGAAGTGGCACAGGCCAATGTTGAAAGGCGTTTCTGTTTTCTGGGGGCTGCTTGGACTGCTTGGAAGTGTGTTTCCCCTATTCAACAGCCTGATCTGGCTTCTTTTTCCTTTGGATTCCTGAGAGGTCCTGTATTCAGACCCTTTGGGCACTCCTCCTGCCCACGGGCACATTCAGGCATAGTGTTGGCAATGCAGCTTTTGGCTCTGCGACGGGTGCACAGACTCCTAGCCAACAGGCCGGGTTGAGTTCTCAAGGATGGCCATGCAGCGAAGCAGACTTTGTGAATTACGGTGCTCGCCATCCTGAGATCCCTGCAGCCTTAGGAATGGGGCTTGAGGCTTCCCATTCCTTTTGCCGCTAGTCCAGGACTTCCTGTTTTAGTCTGCGATGGTGAGATCTTGAGATCTTGGAAACAGCACTGCTCTTTATAGGCTGTCATCAGACGAGCTTCAACCGCTTAGCCTTGCTATCGCTTAGGCTTGTTTGACCTGAAACAGTCAGAAGTTTGTCCACGCTCTGGTTCTGCCAAACAGAGCAGCGAATGCAATATTGTTTTGACTCATGGTTGAATTGATTTGGCAGGGAGCGATGGGCTTCACTCCGGTGGAGTCAGGGCTGGGCGGTGCCATGATTGGCCTCTCTGCGCTGGTGGCTTACTTGTCAGATGGCCTCTCAGCGGACATTTAGCACGTGCTGGAAGCCGACTTCACTAGTCCGTGTGGTAGTTCAGTGGACTTTGCGGCGCCGTTGTGTCGTGTATGCCCTTTGAGATACGCACTGCACACCAGGAAAACAAAAAGGCCAGATGCGGGATACTCCTGGCTGCCCTGAACGCAACATAAATCAGTCGTTGCGCTCGTCGCAGGCAAGATCACGGGCATCAGCGGAATCCTGGGCCCCTTCTTGAAGAACGTGCCTGGGTTACGGTGCTGGGTGCTTGAGCTTGACCCCCCAAAAGGTTCGGAGGGGGCATGGTGCACCCAGGTTATGGTCTGCCAGCTGGAGGTTTGGAAGATGCTTTTCCTGATCGGTCTCATCCTGGGAGGCGAATGGATTAGCCAGCGAGTCAAACAAGACCAGAAGCATTGGTGAGTTGCACGAGCATGTCCGCAACACAGCAGCAGGTGGTTTGTTCACACCTTTGTAGCCATTCATAGGACAGTCCAAGTTGGAAGCCCTCAGATGTTGGCAGACTCTAGCTTGCGTTCGTTGGCACTTAAGAAGGAATTTCAAACCTTCGGGGAGGGGGCAGTAAGGAATTGATGTCGTTTCAGAACATCGGACACTCATCACGTCCTCAGTCTTTCAGCTTGGCTGGAGGCCTTGCCAATAACGCCTGGAATGCCTCCTTTGCCTTCCCTGGTGCCGAGCCCTTCTCCACGTACCGCTATTTAGCCGCTGGGATTGCCGTGGGAGCTGGCAGCCGATTGCAGAGGCTCGGACAGTCCTGAAGAACATAGTCTTTCGCGCATCGTTTGGCCGGAATCAGAGTTTGAGTTTGGTCCATTCTTGGGCTTTGTACAGCTGAGTACTTGGGTGGATCAGAAGTCAGGATCCTTCCCGTCGAAAAGTGCTGCTTTTCGCCCTCCAGGGGCTGCACCTCCGGCCACGGCATTTGCGGGCTCCCGCGCTTCAGCCAGAGGAGTTGGATGGCGGTGCCCAGCTTCATGCTGCTGGCTGGCAGCACCCTGGCACGCATTCTATGGATTCTGTCTTGGGGCCCGTCTGTTTTGTTTACTTGGTTTCTCGATCACGCATGGCAAGTGGCCAATGTCAGTTTTTGGATTAATACAATAGTGGAGTGAGCAGGTTGCCAGAGCCTTCAAGTTTTCTGCTGACGTCCGCAGTTCAGGGGAACCAGCGGCGTGTTTTTGTGCAGGGCAGCTTGTCTTTGTCGCTGCGCTACCCGAGTCGTGGTCTACGTGACTCGCCACGTTCTTGTCGTGGACCCGGCGAAGGAGCCTGGCATCGCTGCGCTGGAGTGGCCTCCCAGGCGCTTCGATCTTCGAGTTTCTGTGGAGTGGCCGCAAACTGCCGTAACACTGGGAACCATATTTTCTGACATTCTGGTGTATGCTTGCGGACTTGGGAGGGACAGCTTTAGAGAGGATAAGAACGTCCCTCTCAGGCAGCAAGCACTATCTTTAATTTGTTGCTTCACTCAAAATTGATGAATGTAGCCGAAAGCTAGCTGTGGCCTGCGAAGATGCTTGGCACAGCTGCCCGCGGTCCACAGTGCTACCAAACAAGATCACACGCACAGTGCATTTTGAAGTTGTTTCAAGGCTCTGGGCTGTTTGATCCCAGATTCGCCGGAAGCAGCAACCCACCGGGCATCAAAGCGAGATGATTTCTGCAGGGCAGGTGAAGGCTGAGACAGCCCCATCTAGTGGGTGCAGATTGCCGCCCGTTTGTTTCCTTACGTGGATTTTTGGGAGACATGTCTAAACTCACGAGAAGTCGCCTTTCAGCTTGCACTTCCCTGTGGCGGCGCTGGGGGTGTCGCTGATGCTGACAGCCCTGTCTTTTGCGCCCCTGGGCGCTGTCCACGGCGTCATCTGCCCGCTGGCCGGGGTGTTTGGGTTGAGCCCCAATGCCAGTGGGGTGTTCCTTACAAGGATGGGATTGGAGCCCCTGCTTTCCAGCTTCCATTTTTCCCTCTTCAAGACCATCCGAAAGGGAGTGCCCAATGTCAGTACACCCGATCAGGGGATTGGGTGCTGACCCCCGACCCAACTTGGACCTTCAGCTTTGCGACTCCCCCTGCAAGTCCTGCGGCACCATCTTTGGCCTGGGCCTTGGTGTCGCCGGCATGACCAGCCAGGCGGGGTCGCCGGCGCTCGGTGTAGGTCATTTGGAAAATTCCCTGGATCCAGATCAGATTTGCAAAAGATGCATTGGCCTGCGTCCCTTGCTTGAGGACAAGGTCCTGGACTTCTTGGATGTCGCAGGCTACTGGGACCCTTCTTTGGCCTTTGTGATGGGCTTGGGCATTTGCGTGTCCTTCCCTGCCTTCTACAAAGGGGCTCCTTGGTCGAAATGCGAACGCAGGGAAGGAACATGCTCATTTGGCCAATGTAGTCACTGACTCACTCACTCACTCACTCACCCACCCACCCACCCACCCACCCACCCACCCCGCCCCGCCCAGCCCCGCCCCGCCCCACCCCACCCCACCCCGCACCCACCCCACCCCGCCCCCACCCAACCCAACCCAACCCAACCCAACCCAACCCAACCCAACCCAACCCAACCCAACCCAACCCAACCCAACCCAACCCAACCCAACCCAACCCAACCCAACCCAACCAACCCAACCCAACCCAACCCAACCCAACCCAACCCAACCCAACCCAACCCAACCCAACCCAACCCAACCCAACCCAACCCAACCCAACCCAACCCAACCCAACCCAACCCAACCCAACCCAACCCAACCCAACAACCCACCCACCGCACCCACCGCACCCACCCACCGCACCCACCCACCGCACCCACCACACCGCACCCCCCACACCCACACCCACACCCACACCCACACCCACACCCACACCCACACCCACACCCACACCCACACCCACACCCACACCCACACCCACACCCACACCCACACCCACACCCACACCCACACCCACACCCACACCCACACCCACACCCACACCCACACCCACACCCACACCCACACCCACACCCACACCCACACCCACACCCACCCACACCCACACCCACACCCACACCCACACCCACACCCACACCCACACCCACACCCACACCCACACCCACACCCACACCCACACCCACCCACCCACCCACTGACCCACTGACTCACTGACTACTCACTGACTCACTGACTCACTGACTCACTGACTCACTGACTCACTGACTCACCGACCCACTGACTCACTGACTTACTGACCCACGCACTGACTCACTGAGTCACTGACTCACTGACTCTCTGACTCGCTGACTCACTGACTCACTGACTCACTGACTCACTGACTCACCACCCACGCACTCGCTCGCTCGCTCGCTCACTCACTCTCCCTCTCTCTCTCTAGCCCTCTCTCTCTCTCTCAAATTTGACAGCTTCTCGAGCGACTTGAAGGAAGTTTCAATGAGTGCATTGCATGCACTGATGTCATTGTTGTGATCTTCAGATGCTTCTTGGAATCGCATCCATTTTTGTTCGTATTTTTTTTCGCTCCTCCAAGGAGAAGGAGGGTGCCAAGCCAGTCTGTGCTGAGAAGTTCGAGAATCCTCCCAAGACAGGAGATACGGCGCCTTGGCTGGGAAAGGCAAAGCCACGTGGACCAGCAGTGGCGTTGCTGGCAGTTGGTTGTGATTCTTTTGGCATCGGCTTGCAGCGTTTGACGTGGATTACAATGTGCTGGAAGCAATGAGCATCAGCTTTGGTATTGAGAAATTGGTGTGTTGCACTTGCATTGTGAATCCCATGCCCAGCATCCGTCCAGTATCCACATCTGCACTACACAGGTGGCATCAATGGTGTTTTCCGCTGCAGAGTTGGTAGCAGTTGGTTCACGTTGTTGATATGCGATCATTAGCACTCAATCCTGGCAGAGACAACTCCCACTTACAGCAGTGTGGGCGGCATCCATCCGGGTCGTGCGTAGCAGACTCCTGTGTGTGTGTGTGTGTGTGTGTGTGTGTGTGTGTATATGTACGTGTCTGCGCTGACATTGGGTTGTTCGATTGACCACAAACAAGGGCTGGATTCGGAGGCGCCCATCCAAGTGTCACTCCTTTGCAGATTCACATGGAAGGCACCAAGCAAAACAATAGTTCGGGGACTCTTTCGGGGACATTTTGGATTCCATGCGAATGTGCGGAGTACGTTCTGTTCAGGGTTCCCTGCTCATCGGCGCCGCGCTCTTTGGCCTGGGCTGGGGCTTGACGGGCATATGCCCGGGGCCGGGGCTTGCGGGCACTGCGCCTTGGCCGATTTGTTTTTGTTGGGCGGCAACAAGACCTTTTGTCGCAGCGAAGTTTTTGCAGTGCTCACACTTGGCCCAGTGGAACTGTCTGGGCTGGCGCAGGTCCCTAACCTGGTCAACAGCTCTGGCACGGCAGGTGGGTCTGTGCCACAGTGGTGCTGTCTAGCAGAACCATAGTTTTCAGTCAGATCAACATTTGTTTCTAAACGTCTAGTTACGTGTGCTAGTTGCAGAAACTGTCTGCAAGAGTCAAGCAGGCCAAGCTGCGCCGCATTCTACAAGTTGGTGCCTCTAATAAGGTTGCACGAGTCTGAGCTGTTTGGTCCATCTTAGAATTGCAAGGAAACATCTTAAATGGGCGGAAGTTTCTAAAGCGAGAAGAGTGCCTATAGGAAGAGCTTGGCATGCGTTTGTTTGAAGAGCTGGGCACAGTGCACTGGCGCAGGCTGCGTTGGCCTCATTCTGCTTGCTCACCCAGACCCCGAAGATGCGAGCTATCCTGACACAATCTCAGGACTTCTTTTGCGCCAATCTCAGGACTTCTTGAATCAAAACAATCCCTGGCACAATTTTCCCCAACTCGCTTGCTCCAAAGCTCGCCTGCGATGAACCTGGCAGTGACTGAAGAGACTGGCCCCGATCATCCCCAATCTCGAGTACTTGACCTTGCCTGGGAACAAAATGCCGCGCCTGCCACGAAATCTGCACCTAAGGTTGCCAAAGTGATGGGCCTGCCACGCGATTTACGCCTCCGTCTCTGGCTTTTTTTCTCTCTCTCTCTCTCTCTGTCTCTCTCTCTCTCTCTCTCTCTCTCTCTCTCTCTTTCTCTCTCTCTCTCTCTCTCTCTCTCTCTCTTTCGTTCTTTCTTTCTTTTCATTTGATCTATCTATCTATCTATCTATCTATCTATCTATCTATCTATCTATCTATCTATCTATCTATCACCTGACCTTGCGAAAGTGCTGCGCCTGCCACGAAGTCTGGGAACTTTTGGAGACCGTGGCGAGCCCGTGGCGAGCCCGTGGCGAGCCCGTGGCGAGCCCGTGGCGAGCCTGTGGCTAACCTGCGCGCTGAACAGAGGTACCCTTCGCGATTCGGTCGGGCTATCTTCTGATTCTGATCAACTCTACTTTCTGATTGTTTTCTACACAAACGTCGTTTGATTATGCATATTACCTAGATCGGAAATGCTTTGCGCCTTCAAGCTTCCGAAAACGATGGAGGCTTGGGCTTTGCCATGTGCACTGTGGCCACGGGCTGTACCTGGGCCCGGGACCCCACGGGGGACCCCACGGCTTTTGGTGAGCGGTTCTGAGAGGTCTCAGGATCCATCAATTAGAGTTCTGGGGTCTTGTCGTAAGCCCTCGAACGTGTCAGTTGCTCATTCCGGGAAGTTCCAATGCGCTCCTCGAGCAAATGGCACGATTTTTAGTTCACTCCATGCCCAACACAAACATCAGCTTGGCGGTTACGGTGTACAGCTAAGCTGATGCTTTGCCAGAGTGCAGCAAGAGGTTTATTACTTTGCGCAAATGCGAAGAAGCTTTTGCGTCACACTTGCTTCGCTGTTACACGAGTGTTGCTGTGCTTGCGGTTTGTTTCTAACCAGATTCTGTTTTCTTTTGACATCGCGCAGTTGCAGTCCGCCTCCTTTCACATGGCGTGCAAATTGAATTGCGGGCTTAGTCTCCCGCTGGCCATCGAGATTGGTTTTTGGTAGTCGAGAGAGGCAGCCAACACTTGGTGTGCCAGCAGATGGGCTGGATCTTTCATTGAATGCTCAAAGCAAAAGGGGTCTGAACAAAGCTCACATCCAGGTTGCTAGAGAGTAGTTCCATTGCCACGGTGGCCAGCTTGATGTCATGCACGGTGTCCTTTGCAATCTGCTTCGTTGCAAGGCAGTGCTCTCGAGGGCTCATTGTCAATCAATCCGCCATACCTTCTTCGAACATGCACTTTTCCAACTGCACGTACTTGCTTAAGGTTGAGACATGAATGCCCGTACAATTGTTTTTGTTCATGTTGAATATGTACGGCTGCTCTAGTCAACCGACTGGCAAAAGGGACCAGTGGGTATGCCAGAGATGCTCAGGTCATCACAGACGGAGCGCAGGACTCAGCATTTCGTTACAGACTAGGCAATGCTTGCAAGTTTTAAGAAGTTCCCAAAACAGAATTAGACAGGCGAGCTTATTCGGCCTTCGCTCCTTTGTGGGGATGGTCAGATGGGAAGGGAAGGTCCATCGAGCTCTGAAGCGCTCAGGCCCTCAAGATAAGCAGCAGCGTGCCGGTACCACGCACCAACTCGGACGAGAAGCCCCTGCTTCCCAACTGAGGTGCGCCTGTGGCCCGAGCGAGAATCTCGCACCCGGGAGAGTTTCCCAGTGAGGGTTGAGAAGTTGAAACATGAGATGGGCTTGGCGTGACATTACAGCGTGTTAGTTGCAACCTAAGTGTAAAGCATGCTGAATGCTTGGGTGCTGAGGCAAAAAAAACAGAACTGTAAAGTCGGTTTGTGTCTGGTAATATCCACATGTTCATTCTCGGATGATAATGTTTATCATCATCGTCATCATCATCATCATCATCATCATCATTCCTATTCTGATCCTAAGCCAATATGGCCGGCATTGCCAGCATCACCTACATCGCCAGCACTCAAGTGCAAGCTTCGATTCAGAACAGCGTGAGAACCTTGTCCAGAAAGTGTCCCGGTACAAAACGCTCATGATGCAGACAGCTCGTACGTTGTTTTTGCTTGTAGACACGCATCGTATGGCCACTGTAAGGCGTGGGTGGAACAACTTTATGTCATGGCGCCGCTCAAAGCGGGCACCATTGGACCATCCCTCCCCGCCCTTGCCAGAGACAGGGTGTGCCAAGCTTGCGACGAGCGTGCGCAGATGCTGTCAACTATGGATGAGACTTGCTTTTTGAAACGTGCGCCATGCTTGTTGATCTTACAGGCTGACCACCCGGAAAGTTTGGCCTCTTTCATTGCTGACCAGATATCTGGTAAAGGCATGAAAGGTTCATCCTTCTCATCGCCTCAGGTGTTGGGGTATTGGGGCTTACTGATTTTGAGTCTGTGTGAATATACTGTATGGTTTTCGGCTCTTCATACAACAAGCCGCTATAACAATGGGTAAGAAACAAGTGAAGTCAGTGCTGATATGAGAGTTGGTCAACATTGGGGAGGTTCCCGTTTGGACTCATGAACAGGTTTTGCCCTGGTTCAACAATAACCAGTTGGTTTTGGACCAGGCATGTGAAAGAATACACGCCATGACTTTGTCCGGAACCCGGGAAGAAGGCATTTGGTTGAGTTAGGCCGTGGGCATTTTTTCAAATTGGCTGGACTCCTTTTGGTGGGTCTTTGAAGCAAAGGCAAACAATTTGCGAGGGACCCATTGGGTCCCTGATCTAAGTGAGACAGGACATTGTTTAGACATCACTTCATGTTCTTTGAAGCCTTCGGTGTGCCCTGAAGCTTAGCTTTCGCCGGCTGAAGCACAGTGGTTGGTGCCTGTGTGCTTTATGGACTTTGCAGGATCTTACGACAGCCAGAATGACATAGGCAATAGCAGGGCTGCATTGTTCCGACCAAGCATTGTCAGGCAGGTGTCGAGGCGGAAGTTGACTTACCAGGGCTTGGATGTTAGGCTTCTTCGCGCTGGGCCGTCCAAATGTTTACGGGGCTTTCAATCTTAGTTGAGAGCTAGCCACGCAGCAATGCGCCTCACAATACCCAACGATTGGCTGTCATGGATGAATGAGGAAGGCCATTCCTTAAAGCCACATTCCGGTCCCATCTTCCGACGTAGCAGGAAGTAGACACGAGTTTGTATTTCTTTTAGACAGGCTTTGTGACACTTGCAAACGGCTGAATTTGTTCTTAGTATGTTGCACACATATAGCAGATTTCCCTCTCATGGCGATGACAAGCAACTATGATATTGTTATATCCTCTTGCATCACCGCGATGAACGCTACACAACAATGACTTCTTCCTAATAAAAAAGGTCCCCCGAATATTGGAATTTGTTTTTGAGAATCCCACATCCGGGAATACTACTTTTAGAATAGGCCAATACTAAACCAATTCTAAAGTAGGTAATTTCCCGCCCGTGGTCAACTCCAGTCCTATTAGGGGGACCCGGGAGCACAAATCCTTTACTACGGTTGTACTACGGTTGTACTACAAAGTTGCGACTTTCAAGCCGGAGCTCCGGGAGTACGTTTCCTGTACTCCGGTTGTACTACAAAGTACGTTTCCTTTACCACGGCTGTACTGCAAAGTAGCGACTTTCGAGCCGCAGCTCCGCGAGTATGTTTTCTTTACTATGGCTGTACTACAAAGGCGCGACTTTCGAGCCGGATCTCGGTGAGTGCGGTTCTCCGAAAACGAACAGGAGGAGGCCCACTAATAATAAACATGTTTTTCCTGGGGGACCAGCTTATTATTAGGGGGGAGGAATCACTGGACGTAGTGCCACCAACTCTGAAAAGGGAATGAGTTTTTTTGATGTTGCAATGAGCGAGCTGCCGCCAGCCTACTTACTGTCAGACGTTCTTGTGTTGTGTTCATTGCTGCTTCTGCTGCGCGTCGTTGACGTGGCGCTGTTGACTTTCAGTGTCGGGCTGGTTTTGGGATGACCCGTTCTGACAACGAACCAACGAACTCAGCACCAGAGTCAATTATACATGCTCCCACAAGGTTCCAATGCACATGTACACATTCTTTAACACCAGCATTTCCTGCTGGGTTTCAGGGCAAGATTCAAAGTCCAGGCAAGTCCAGGCACGGACCAACATTGTCAGCAGGCAACGAGTGCAACATATGGGTATGTGCTTTTTGAAGGACACCTTTTCAGGTTGTTCTAAGAAGGAAAACCATGAGGAAAACAATCATGTTTGTGTAGACACATACCCATATGACTTGTTGCTGTTGACCGCTGTCTTCCGACCTGGTCGGAGAAGACTTTGCTGTGCATGTGAGGCACTTTCTGACATGATCAGAGGAAGTGCCTTCGCGCGAACAAGCGGAAGTGGCTTTGGGATAAAAGCAAGGCCGTGCACGGTCATATTATTGCGGAGTGTTGATGAAGCACGCTCTTAGCATGAAAGTTGTTGCCCGATGCGTGCAGGAAGCTTTTTTTATTTTTTTTTTCTCAATGAGACAGAGCGCTGATCACACTCAATAAAAGTTGCTGAAATTAAACTTGGAAGAGCCATAGCAAACTGAAGCAATAGCTGCGCCACTAGCATATCATGGCAGCAGAGGTCAGTGCGTCATATTGGGATCATGGGCGAGTGCTCACGATGCCATGTGGATGGCTATCGAAATCCAGAGGCCTTCATTCCGCAGTGGGATGACAGGGGTTGCCATGTACTACCTCTGCAGATGATCATTCCCAATTTCGTTGGACACAATTTTCGCCGTCGGCATGCGTTTCTCCCCCGTTGTCCATGCCGGTGTCTCCGCGCTCGCATCGCGAGGTCCGCATCTCCTCGGGGCTCTGCGGGTGCAGCCTCTGTGGGCGCTGCCTGATTGGCCTCAAGAAGACCTGCCCCGGCTGCGGGCGACCTGCCAGGCAAGCGGGTTCCATGAGGCCAGTTAGGCGTGGGCGTCTAGCGTGTTGTTTAATTATGGCAGTTGAGCGTGGGATGTTTCGCGGCATCGTGAGTTCAACTAGAGATGGGCAGATCGAAGGCCCCAGACTTAGCATGTCGTGATGCGACATTACTTGATACCAACAGGTGCTTGTTGGATGCCTGGTTGTGGCAGTGTCTTCCAGGCTTGGCCTTGATTTTGGGAAACACCTGTGTGACAGTGTGACTCGCTTCGTTCCTGATTCTTGTGTTTTCCCAGAGAAGCTACATACTGGGCAAAGATTGCAATCTCAGGTGTTTTGCAAGCTGACCCATGATGCAGCACGGGGAGATTCATTTCTCATGATTCATTCAGAACATGGGAATGATGGCAACCATGGTACATTCCAGGACCACCTTCACCCCCCCCCCCATTTCGTCCCATTTGATGATTCAGTTGCTTCTGTCTCCTCCGTGCCTTTCTGACCTGATGTTCTCTTCGCATCCTCCGTCCATTCCAAAGCTCTCTTTTGCCTTTTTTGCCTCCTGCTGCTGCCTGAAGTGCAGTCAATACGCGTTCTGAGGGCACGCGCAACAAACCATGTAGAACATGCAAATCCGCGCAGGATAGTCCACTTTGCGCGGGCTTACCCATCTTACTTGAAGTGTTCAAACCTTGCTATCCTTGGGTTTGCCAAGCACATTGCTGCCAGCACATCTCAAGGAGAGCTACGCAGATTAGCGCGGCATGGCCCGACATCGATAGGTGCCATGGAAGTGGCAGGCTATCCAGCCCCAGTCAGGCATCCTTTGTTGGAGCGAGAGACCTTTGAGAAGCTCCAGCGCAATGATGTGGTGGAGATAAGGCCTCACATCTTGCACTTTGGTGGCTTTCAGGTCCACAAGGCTCGAAGCAAAAGGACGCTCAAAGCAAACAGAGGCTAGCGCCCAAATGGCTAGGATGCTGGGAACAAACGTCCAAAAGAATGGTGGGTGGGTGCAAATCCCCATGTGTGCTGTAAAGGATGTCCACCAAAGGCAGGGCCCTCACTGAAATTCATGAAAAGTTGAGCAAATTGACGAGCCCAGGTTGTTTTTGCCTAGCCCGAAGGCCCACAGTCACGTCGTTAAAGTGGTGAACATTTCGCCATCCTCACTGCGGGTGTCCATTATTGGTCCAAGCTCACCATGGTTCAAAATAGACTTCGACAAGAAGGGGCTGCTAGCCCCCGGGATGAGCGAGGACATCACGGTCACATTTGAACCGCACGAGTGGCGGTACTACTACGACACCATCAAGATTTTTTGCGGGGATCTGTCCGAGAACCTGCTGGTGCCGATCCACGCGTACCCAGCGGCCAACGACATCGTCCTGCCAAGGCTTTTGGACTTTGGCGCGACGGCGATCGGCACCACGCGCTCCAAGGTGATTCCCTTGTCCTGCAAAATCCCCATCAAGTTTGAGTTCGAGATCACGATCCTGGAGGCATGTGAGTGCAGAGCGGGTTCACGTTTTTTGCGTTCTCATTGCGCTTTTTCTGTTTTCCCCTGTTCAACGCGAGGCTCACCCGGACATTAGCATCTTCCCCCTGCGTGGGGTGATCCCTGCCGACGAGGGCACCGAAATCCAGGTGACCTTTACACCCTCAAGGCACGCCTCGGCGCGGGCGGAGCTGAGGTTCCACATCGAGCAGTTCAACTTCCAGCCCGTGCTGGTCAGCGTGGTGGGCTGCTGCACCCCAGAGGCGCGTTTCAGAAAGTGTCGCAAGGGAACCGCCTGAGTGGTTGGTGGATATGTATGATAGGAATCACCTGAATGTCCACCAAAGGGTCCCCAATTGAAATTCACATCATGCAAAGAAAGGCTTGCAGGTGGAGAGTTGCAGAGAGAGCTTTGTGTGTTTGGTGCTTCCATGCCTGACAGTCTGGAGGCCACAAAGATGGAGCTCCTTCAGAATGAGGTGGCTGAGCAGCATGCGATCGCTCAGCAAAAGCAGCAGGAGAAGTTTGCTGCCACAGCAGACAAAGTGAAGCTGGCAAAGAGCAAGGGACCGATGCAGTTGCGCCTTCCAAAGTTCAAGAGCGAGGAGCTGGAAAGGACCATGAGTGGCATCAAGGTTCCCACTACGAGGATGGACCAGCAGGCCACCAACTTCGTTCTCACCCAGACGGCTGGGAAGCTTCCGCTCAAGGATTTGGTGACCTTCATCCGGGAGCAGCGGGAGGTGGCCGACCAGCGGCGCCAGCGGGTCAATGCGACTGTTGGCTCCATGGAGGAGGTGGAGGACGACCGGCAGGCGAAGGAGCTGCGGTTTGAGCTGCAGTACAGAGAGGTGGACAAGCGCGACAAGGACAAGGAGCTGAAGAACACGCGGGCCACCGGAGAGGAGCCCCCGAACGAGGATGCTATCCAGGAAGTGCACGAGACTCGAAGAAAGAGGTACGAGAGGTTGTTCCGGTCCCGGATCAATCAGGACGTGAGCCGGGTTGAGTCGGTGCTGAGCCAGGAGCGCATCGCTGTGCCGGGAAACTTCAAGCCGATCGCGCGGCCAGCGTGGGACGAATGCGCCAACGACACCTTCTCCGTGCGGCTGCAGGTGATTGAGCGCTTCGTGCGCGCAGGTTCCAAGGTGCTGATGCGCGTGCGCGCGCGGCAGCGGTGCCAGCTGCTGATCGAAGCCTTGAAGGAGGCTGGCGTCAGCGATCGGGACAGCTGCAGGGCATGGGTGGAGGCCGAGAACAAGGCGGCCGCGTCGGGCACCCTAGTGAAGGCGGACAAGGTCAAGAAGGAGACGGTTTCTGCCGATGATGAGGCTGATGGGAGCCTTCCTGTGATCCACATCCCGGAGGATTTCGTACTGCCGCTACAAACTCCCACTAAGACTGTAGGCTTCTCTGCTGAGGAGCGACAGCCTGTGGAGATGGTGCAGCTTGATAATTTTGAGGAGTTTTTGTCAGTTGAGCCAAACGTGCGGCTGGACTACAAAGTGCTGGATTATCCCCTGCATGATGTGCCACCTGCATCGGCATATATGAAGCCCAGTGAAAGGGTTCGTCTCTCTGGGGCGCTGGAGGAGCAACTCATTGGTGGGGAGCGAGGGGATGTGCTGGATGGGGCCGAGATGCCAGTGGCGATGCCAGAGTCATGCCTCCTGGCACCGGCGCACGACGCTTTGTCTCTCCTCATCCCGGACACCCACTGCCGGACGTACGTGGCCTTCCCGGAGTGCGTGGAGTGCGACCCGAACTTCAGGCTGGCGCAGAAGCCCGAGCTGCTGGTGCCGCTGGAGCCACCTCTGCTGCCGGATGCCATGTCTTTGGAGTCGCCGTGGCTGGAGAGTTGGCGGGGTCAGCGCCAGCTGGAGGACCCCTTCGGGCGCCAGGACGGTTTCGGCCTCAGCTTCGTGGAGCCGCAGATGGGCTTCCTCGGCTCGGATTTGGGCGGCCCGCGCCTCAACTTCCTGCCCTGTGGCGGACTCGACCGGGATCTGCCCAGCGACACCGACGACGACGAGCAGCCGGACTTCCACATCGCCGCGCCCGCGCGGGAGGCCGAAGACAAGGCGCTTCAGGCCCTGGACAGCGCTCCGCCCTCGGAGATGTGGCACAAGGACGAACTTGCATGAAAGCTGCGGCACTTTGAGCAATGAACCCCAAGCTAAGGGATCTTATGATTTGAGGGCGGGGATATTCTTGGATGGGAGTTCAGAAAAGCTCAGACTTTCACTCCCAATTGGGCAGGAGGAGGTCGCTGAGAAGAGGCTTCAAGAGCTGTGCGCCTCCAACGGCAGAGCAGTCCGTGACCGGCTCAGCCAGCTGAACGCCGAGATGAGCCGCAAGCTGTTTCTAGGGTGAGGCGCCCGGGAATGAATCGGCTGATGGATCAGCGGTTGGGTCTCTCGGTTTGGGGCTGAGAGTTGGAAGGGGCCGTGCCCCGAAATGGTTTCACCTGACACCTCCAAATCCGGAGGGGCTGCGCACAGTTTGCTGAGCAAACCATCCGCAGGAATTCAGAAAGCGCAAAAAGGGCGGTCCTGGATTGCGGGGAGAGAGCAAGTCTTGGGTTCATGATTATCAATGATCAATGATCGTGTTGACAGGGCAGGGCTGGCAAAGCTGGCAGAGTGCAGGAAGTTTCTTCTTTCAGCACACTGGGGTAGAGAACAAAAAGCAAAATGGCCAGGACACCCTGCCCATGTTTTTCAGGCTCTGATGATGTGAGTCTTGCCTCTAATCATCAAACAGGATGTTTGTTTGTTGTTGATCTCTTGACTTCGGCATTCCTTCGTACTGTCCAGTCAAGACTGGCTGCAATCCGAGCATTTGCCAAGTCGTTCAAGAAGCTGCTTGTGTCCCTGGAGAGGACAGATGACTTCTCTGAGGGTCCACGCGAAAGCCGCGAAGTGGACAGGGAAATGAAGGCCTCGCTGGGGAGACCAGTATGGACTTGGATCATGGCCCATACAAGCCTGGGCGTACTTGCAAGAAGGGTCTTTAAGTCGCCTGGGAGACGTTTTTAATATAAGTTGATAGGTTCTGACCTTCTCCCAGACCGTGTTTTGATGATGTGTTGCTCAACCCAGACTTCACTGTGAAATTCAATCCCTTTTGGCCTTAGACCACATCATCAACCTACCGGCAGTTTTGGGCTTTGTTGGTACTTTATTTGTAAGAAACCGGCCAATGCGTGGTGGCATGGGGCCTTCCCCGCAACGAATTGCCGCAAAATGCTGGTTGCCAGGCTCAGTGTTTGCAAACAGTCACCAGCCATGAGCCAAGCCCTCCGTTTGACTTGCATTGGACAAGCAGTACCCACTCTCCCAGCCACTTTGGCCCGGCTGGCCATGAGTGTGTTGGACAATATAGGTATCAATTTGCCCTGGCAAACATATTGATCAATATGCTGTGCAGTCGACATTTTGGTGCGACATTCTTGCCATTTCAAAGCAGTCTTTGGGACCCCCCACAGAGGTTGCTGTCTCAGTCTTCGCTTCTCTCAGGCTCCCCCTGCCAAGGCCACTCTTTCATTTCCTGTTTGGACAGGGGTGCATATGGCATAGGATATTCTTAATATGGGTACTTCTACTACAGAGCGCTGTATTTCGGAGTCGCTGGGTTGATTGCCCAGACTGTTCGATTGATTTGTTGCTCGTCAAAGCATTTTTTCTTCTGAAGCCGACAGGGAACAATTGAAGGCCGAAAGATTGGAATTGTGGAATGCTGGCACGTCAGTGAAGCCGCAATTGTGAATTTGTGGGAGGTGAGGCGGCAGATCAAAGAGATCTACTGCAAGGAGCAGCGAGACTTCTCCAATAGCGAGGAGTGGGATGAGAGCCTCGGCCCTGAAAACGTCGGGGGGTCAAAGCTTGCTTTCCCGACTCCTCACAAGGATCGCTGGTTTCTAGTTTGTCCATACAGCCTTGTCGTGATGGGGAGACCAGGCGTCAAGATTCGGAAATATTTCCGGCTGCGACAGGGCGGGCAAGCGCGCAAGGTACTTGATGCTGCGGGAAGACATCATCTACAAGCTGGTGAACTCCTCAAAAGAGGAGGCCTTGGGAGGGTCCACGCAAACCAGGTGGTTGGGTCCCTGGTGTCGTTTGTGCAAGTTTGTACTGCCTTCAAAGGGGGCCAAAACAGGGGATCATACGATGTTTTTTGGCAACGCCGGCCGTGCGCAGTCGCAATGGCGTGAGTAGCGCTTGTGATGCTGTTGCTTGGAGCGAGGTTCCTTTCCTCAATGTGACATTACCATCCAGCGAGAGTTCCTGGAGGTTTCCTGTTGATGGGAGGGTTGCATTTCCTCCCTCCTTATTCTATGAGCCCTGTCCCTGTGTTGTGGGGCTTGGAATATTGCTTGCTTCTTTCATTGAGAATTGAAGCATTCTTTGCTCCATCTCGCCACACAGAATCTTAGAGTGTGCATCAGTGGGGGTGCCTGTGCCGTATCCCAGGTCCTTGAGACCTGGCGCCAGGTGGATCGGTACAAGGCGAGGTCTTATTGCTCACGGCTAGAGACACGGACAGTTTTCGACCAAGGACCAGACATGCAGTTTGTTGAGTGGAGACCTGCAGCGATCTGCCATTTGAGAGCAAATGTGGGGCATTTGACTTTCGGAGAAGTACTCCTGGACATGTAGCTGGGTGTGTGACCCAGTCGAGACATCCTGCTCCGATCCCTGTTCAACAGTGAGAGGGTTTGTAGATCGGAGCTTCCAGGCATATATGTCCAAAGGTACTTCATAGCCCTTGACGAAGCTTGCTATGCAGGTCAGCAGCTCTTCAAGCAATTTGTTTCCAGAGTGCGGGCAATGTTGGAAGATGTTAAAACAAAAACACTGCAAACCTGATTGTGTGCGGCATAGTCAGGCATGTTCCAGTGCGGCTGTTTGAATCCGCGGGCGCGGGAGGAATAGTCCTTGGCTAGCTGGCAGGTGTGTCTAGGACTCGGCTTCGGGTGATGGTTGTCTCCCTGGGGACGGGCGTTTGGTGCATGCGCAAACTCGATCTTCGGTTGTTTTTTGTAGAATTGAGTACACTGCTCTCGAAGCAAACGGTAAAACGTAAAACCTTCCCGCTCCCAGTGGCCGCGTCCTCTTCTTTTTGACGCAGTTTGAGACTTGCTCGATGCCAACTCTCCGTTGCATCCTTGAAGGCTCCTTCCTTTTCATGAATCCAAACTATCAAAGTGGGCGATGCGGCTTTCATAATTTGGGTCAATACTGTCAGAGCCCTGTACGGTACGCTCCTTGGGCCGGCCATTTGCCCCGAAACAGAAGCTGGATGGGGCAAGATGCAGGCGCAGCATCTAGCAGAGATCCGCCAGAAGCAGACGGCGCGGCCCAAGGAGGCGGGCAAAACTGGACCGGACAACAAGATCTCAGGGCAAATTCAGCTGGGGGAAGACCATGTAGTTGCAGCAGCAACTGTTGAGACGAATTGGAGGGCTCACAGGCGTTTGGACTGGAGGGGAATTGCCGACTTGTAAGATGTGGCTGCGTCATCGCCCCTGAGGTATTGGAGAAGGTTGCTGCTGTCATCACAGCAGAAGGCCGCTTGTGCATGTTTTGTGTTTTACAATTGGGATCCATGCTAAAACATGGGGCAGGCTTCAACCTACTTGACTTTTTGGCCCGTTTTGCGAGCTGACATGAAAGGTCCCTTGTTTTGACACATTCTCATACATCCCATTCGCATCAAGGTATACAAGATGGGCAGATTCAGGCAATGCAAGCCGAGCTCATCTAGGGTTCCGTAAGGCTTGTGCTCAGTGCAGAAAGCTCCTTTGGGCCGCTCCCAGCCGCTTGCAGGCGACTTCGCTGGCCGGGTCAACGCCAACTGGGCTGAGGCCAAGTTCCAACACCCACTGCAGGCCAGGCTTCATATGGGACCAAACGGAGACCGCTTGGAGGGTCCCCGATTTTGATGCACCTCCATGTGCTAGAAAAGGGGACGTTCCCCGTGTCCGCTCGATTTTCTTGTTTGGTGCAGGATGCTTGTGCAGTCTTCATTCTTTTCCAGAGGGCTTTCAGCACACGGCTCGATCCGGTGCCTCTCGCTCAGGATCAGTACAACAGCCTTCTGAAGGAGCTTCCCCAAAGCCCAGGCCACATCCTAGGCGCGAGCCTCAAGCTTCGGTCTTGCACGAAGCAGGCGGAGCCACAAGCGGCGCCCAAGGATCCAAAGTTGAGGAGCTTCAACTGGAAATGGAATAGCCCGGTGTGGTTGTTACACGTAAGCGATTTTTGTTTTGAGCCAAGTCATTCGCGCTTATTCTCGGTTGAGCTTGTTGCCCGGTTTGGGCGTCTCTGCCTGCGGTTTCGCTATGTCAGGGGCGTCAGGGGTCCCTGCCTCGTTTCCACTTTGGAGCTGTTCGAAGTTTGGTCAACTTTCGGGCGTGGGTCTGGGGCCTGGGATCATAGCGTGATCAGACTGCACCAAAGGATAGGGAGCCATTACGGATGGTTCGAGAGCCCCAGGACAGAAACCAGCCTTCTGGTCGTGTCACACATAGCCGTGGGGGATGTGCAGTATGTGTCATGCATATGGGCGTTGATCAAAACAACCTCTCCACGGGATGACCATTGGGGAAAATCACCAAACAAGAAGAGGGTAATGCCATGGGAAAAATACCCTTGGTCAAAACTAGGGGCCTAAAGGCGATATTGATCAACTGATCAGCCCCCCATATCTTCGTTCGCGAGATCAGCCCCCGAGAGTGAGCCGAAGGCACGGGCGGCGACTCCCCGATGGCGCCGCAGCCGCTGCTGGGGGACGGGCGAGGCGGCGAGACGGGCGATGCGGCGCTGCGCCTGCGCAGCGGCGGGGGCCAGCTGGACGTAGGCCGCCGCAGACGGGTGGTTGCCCCCATGCACACCTTTGGAGCGAAAGAGTGCTGTTTGTTTTCGGGCAAAAGTGCCATCTTTGCACTTTTGTCTACACTCTTGATGAGTCCGGGGTCAATATTACTCGGCGGTTTGGATCCAAATGGTTGTGGCCAGTGGAACGGGCTTGTGGGTAGCCCGGAGATGGGCTGGGCTGGGTTTCCAGCATGGTCGGCTCCATATTTGAAAGGATGTAGAGCACCACTCTGGGGTCAGGAGAGCATTTGGTCGTTTGGGGTGAGCGAGAAGGCTGGCAACTGTGCTTTGTGACAAAGTGGTGGAGCACTTAATCTCCCATGGTGGAGCATTTAGTGAAACTGCACCGGGCAATCTCGATGCCAATCGCGCCTTGTCAGCTCAATCCTCTTCACTTTTTCTTCGCGCTGCTTGTGGATGCATGAGAATCAGAAGTTAGGCTGTGAGCACCATGCAATCCAGGAACGTGAATTAGGGAAGCAGTTGCTGGGACTAGGAGTGGGAACTGCACATGTTTTTTTCAAGAGCCAGCAAAATGGAAATCAGGGTTTGAGAGGTGTTCCAGAATGCTTTCAAGCATTGTGAGAGTTTTCTGACTAGGCGTGTGATCAGGTAAGACGCAACCAAGCCTGCGACCTACGTTCAGTTCAAAGTCTGAAAGGCAGCCGCCGTTTGCGTGGATTGGGACACCCCAGCTGTTCTACTGCCCGCAAACAGGTCTCAAGATGTTTCTGCAGGTTTCCTTCTGCAAGAAGAATTGGCATATTTTGATTTATAACATCGCCAACCCTTCAAGTCAAGTTCTGAGACAACCATGGCAATAGTTCTTATGACAATCATGGCGACTGACCATCGCCCACAAGTCTTTCAGCCCTGAGGCTTGCAGAAGGCGCGGTACTTCTTCTTCTCAGATTTGGCCAGGCTGCCGCGCACATGACGCGCCGCCTGACTGATGATGGGCGGTTGTGAGCAAAGGAGCCCTGCGTCTTGTTGAGCTGAGCAATTTCCTGGCGAAGCAGCATCAACGGATCAGTAGCGGCTCCCTCGGCAAAACATCCACAGCTGCTGGCCTTAGGAGCAGCAAGTGGCCGACTTGCTGCTTGCTAACTCTTGGTATCATCACTGCAAGCCTTCTTGGATGTTTTGCCTTTTCCTGAGTTGTTCAAGACGAAAGAAAGACAAATGACTAAACCAATAGACTTCCTTATTGAGGATTGCAAGCTGCTTGTGTTGTTCGTGGCGGTGATGGTCGGTTGAGTGGTAGTTTTGTTTTCAGAGGTGGTGTTACAGGTCGGTTGTGGTTGTGGGACTTTTAGTAGTAGTTGAGTTGTGGCAAAGTGATTCGTTTGGCAGGGAGCTCACTATTCGACCATCCTTTGCCCAGGTCATGGGGCGGCTGCGCAGGGACGACAGGGGCAGCCGGAAAAAGAGCTTTGGAGCGTCGGCCCAATGATGCACGACCAATAAAAACAGGATGCACTATGACACTATGTGACAATTATTGTGCACAAAGTGTCACAATTAGGCTTAGATGAGCTGATTGCATGCATGTTGTCTTTCTCTTTCGCATCACTTGCACGAGTGGTTTCGCACTATTCCAGATCCACCCCTACCCGAGGTACTGGAAGTACTCCATGTGGTGCCAGAATGAATCGCAGGTGGCGCCTGTGGGGAGGGCACAGAAACAATTGAGTGATGCCCTTCCTGTTATCCAAGTTATCCATGTTGCCTTGGAGGCAGCAGTTCAAGTAATCGACTGAGAGGGTTCAAGTTGAGTTGATAGAGAAGAGGGTTTGCATGAAGTGCGGGAAGTGGACACAATTCAGCCCGCTCCAGTGTGGACAACAGCAGGCACGTGGCACCAAATGTTGAAGCTGTAAGATGACTTTCGTGAATCCGTGGCGTGCCTTCATGAAGACTGCAGAGTGACACTGGATTTCCGCACAGGCGACTCAGTGGCAAATCAAGTCCACAGAGCAGAAGCAGGCAAGGAAGCTTGTGCAGTTTTTTGTTTTGTTTTGTTTTTCTTTTTTAGCTTGGCTCCATGTTGCATGCCACTTGCGAACGTGTCAAAACCAGGGACGACTCACAATGGTTGGGCTTTTTCTGGTTTCTCTTGAACACCGGTCCAAAAGGTGTCCTACGTCCTGCTGGATTGGCTTTTCTCTGTCCGTTCGTGAAACATCTTTGCTTCTTTTCTGACGAACATACTCTTTGCGGAGATGTAACAGAAGCTCGCAGCTGCGGCACTGCTGGCAATGCCTAGATCCAATCCGCATGCTTGCTCATCATTTGCCAGCCAGAAGTTGCATGATCGGAGGAAGGAAGCCAGTGAGGAGCCCTTTCCGAAGTGTGTGTTCTTCGAGGAAACAGTGCAAGGATATGTTTTAAGATCCCAGAGGCACTTTTTGTGGTTTGGCCATGGGGAAAAAAACACCTAGCAAATCTGCTGACGGATGCAGCCGCCACTCGAGGGAACCACTGGCAGAT